GACAGCTCACCTCCTTCATGTAGCTGCACTGCCAAATGAAAGACATGGGCAGAGAGTGGAGATTTCCAGACTGGTAACTCCAGAAGCAAGGGAGGACATGTGTCTTTTCATTTTGAATACAGCAGCAAAAGCGACAGAGCGCAACGCGTCATAATCTGAAAGCCACACCCCCAAAGGTGAAACAAGGCCCGCTTTCCCCCTCTCACTTTCCCCCTCCGTTTCCAGCCTGTTGAGTTTTGTTCCCTGTTTGAGTTTTCCCAGATGCCGAAAAGTTGCTGTGTGGTGGGCTGCACAGCCAATAAAAACCCAGAGCTTATCTTTTATCAGCTACCGAGCAGAAAAATGGAACCTTGTAGGAGACAAAAGTGGATACAGGCAATAAAACGTGAGGCTTCAACAGGGAAGAAATATCCTGACACTCGGTATGCCTATGTGTGCAGCAAACACTTTGTCAAACCCTCCAAATGTATTTGTTAGACTAACAGTTAACTGTGTTTATGTATGTTAAGCTAAAGCATTGACAGTATGAATGCAACTTCTGTTATAATTGTCATTTTGTTGGATCATTTTTCCAAGACGAGCAAGGTAAGGAAAAGGGACACTGAGGTAGACCGGCAATATTAAGCTTATCAATATATCGAAGCCTCTCTGATAGGCATAGCGTGCTTAAATAATCCTTTGCCATCTTATTATTAGCTAATTATTAGCTAGCTATAGCTAAAAATTTTAGCTAGCTAGCTAGCAATTCAGTCGTGGAGACTTGAAGGTGCAGCTGCGGAGGCAGAATGACAGGGAACGAGCGAAGAAGCAGAGGCGAAAGCGGGCCTTGTTTCCCCTTTGGGGGTGTGGCTTTCAGATTATGACGCGTTGCGCTCTGTCTCTATATGCATTGAATTCAGTATGCAAAGTTTATCTGCATAACCTTATTTGTGTATGACGACTTAATGTCTTAGTGTGCAAAGGCCTTAATGAAGGTTACACTATTGTAACTCTAGTTCTATTAGCACAGGTGGAGCCCTCCACTAGACTCTTTTGGGTAATACTCCTCTGTCAAGAACACACATTCACACAGCTGGAAATTTAAGAGACGCCTACGTGAAAATGTGTGGACCCCATTTCAGACATCCTACACCTTCTTCAGTGAGCAGCGTAGGAGCGAGAGGGCCCCTGGGCAGATGATTCTGCTTGTGCTAATAGAACTAGGGTTAAACTGCCATAACCTTTGTGCTGTCTCACATAGGCTCTGCCCCCTACTGGACTCATTTGGTACAGTGGATGGAGCCCGCTGAATGAATGGCCTGTTGCGACATAACATCGACCCGGCCACACTGATCCTGACTGGCTGAAGTTTAGTTTTGGCGTGCTTGCAGCAAAGGCTGCAGCTCATCGTGTTGGTGTGGGGGTCATAGGTCAGCCATGACCGCGGCTGGCCAGCGTTGTCTAGTTTTCATTTTTCAATAAAATGCCGTACGACATTTGTACTCTGTTTAACTGTCTGTTCTTCCTGTCCAAATCCAACATGTTCATCTTCGTTTTTCCTCTTCTGGCGGTAGCTTCACGGCAGAAATGTGTCGCCACATCTTGCTCAGAAGTTACCATAGAATGCCCAGGGTTCTGGTAGCTGATGTCATGCGTTCCCGGCACACGTACAATAAGCCGCAAGGGTCAAAATGGTCTGACACAGCTGGCAGAAATGGTCGAAGCACATAAAAAACCCACATGCAATTCAAAATTTTCCATCGGCCACTGGCGGGTGTATGTTTTTGTTTTACATGCCAAACTAATTTTTTACCTGCCATTGGCACTTGGCGGGTGTTAATTTTACGCCCTGCTGTGAACACTGTGTCCATGTGTTTGCTTCTGTCTATAACACACTGCAGGATGTAATAAATGCAAAGTGTATTTACCAGTGAAAAAAGTCCCTTTTACATCTCAGAATTATAACTTATCACCTATGGCACTAGTCTAATAAAATATATCTATTTTAAAATTTCAGTGATGTTCTCCTTTAAGAAAAGACTGCATCATGAGTTACTGTGTTGAGGTTGCATCACAAATGTTTAGTCATGAAGGATCATGATCGCATGATCTCAGCTAAAACAAATGTTTACTTTGTTGGTCTGTTTAGCAATGATTGCATCATGTGTTGATGTTAGAGCCTTTTTTGTCTTACAGTAACACCTCTGATTGAAGTGATGTCATCATGTGACACTAATGAAAGCAGGTGTGAAAACTTTCTGAGCCACCAAGGTATACAGCCCCGAGGAGCAGCCAGTGGAGCACACACTGTTCAGAGCCCAGTGGGTCTTAAGAACACACACTGTGTGTGTGTATGTGTGTGTGTGTGTGTGTGTGTGTTTTAACACACTGGTGAAACTCTGATCTTGTTTACGGTGAATGGATATTTTTCAAACTGAAACAACAACACTGTTTTCATGGTTACATTGAACTCTGTGACCTGACCAAGAAAAACACACTTGCTTCAGTGAGTGAATACTTTCTTCACTTCATGAAAAGAAAGTATTCATTTAAGGTATTAAAATATTATAATAATAATTATTATTTTTACTTCACGTTTGTCAGTGTTTATTATGAACATCCACATTTTGAATTCAAAACTGGGCCCCAAAAGTGCAGCTTTGCTGTGTAGCAATTTTTATGCCTCCGCGCTGGCAATAGCTGTGGTTGGAGGCATAATGTTTTCAGGTTGTCAGTCTATCCGTCCGTCCATCCATCCGTCATCAAAGTCCGGTGCTTGGTCAGTGACTTCTGGCATCAGAAATGCAGCTGTTCGCCATTATTGTTAGACAGTTAAGGCTGCAAAAGCCTTATGGTAATTTGTTTAAATTTGGCACAAATGTCCACTGGACTCAATGATGAACTGATTAGATTTGGGGGTCAAAGGTCAAGTCTTTGCAACTTTATCTATCTCATTATTGGGAACATGATATCTCGAGAATACCCTGAGGGAATTTCTTCAAATGTGGCACAAATGTTCACTTGGACTCAACTATGAACTGGTTAGATTAAGGGGGTCACAACATATGCTTTTGACCATGACTCAAGAATTCATATGATAATAAGACAAGACTTGAACCAAATGTCTAACAGGATAAAATAATGAAGTGATGACTTTTTATATCCAAAAGGTCAAAGGTCAGCTTGACTGTGACATCATCATGTTTTAACATAATATCTCAGGAACAGAACTGAATTAGTGACTCTAATCTTGAAACTGCTGATTGTATAAATCTTCTATGCTACCTGGGGATACAATGGCTGTGACTACCAGTTAAAAACACCAGATTAGTTTGTTTTGGAGAGGAAGAGACCTTTGAAGAGACCCTGTAGAAGCCTCCTGAACTTCTAGATCTTAAGTTATCAGAGAAAAAAAGATGAGCAGACATCAGCAAGTGCAAGGCTAATGACTCGTCTCTGACATGCCAAACAGTCCCAAAGAAACATGGATTGGTAATATCAAACTGCTTTACTTTGTGTTTTAACTGGTTTAAACTATCTGGTCCATTTGTTTTGAAGAGGTGGAGACCTCTGTGGATAATCCAGCTCACTGTAGAAAACATCTGAATTTGTGCTAAACTTATTTCTGATCCAGTTATTTGAGAAAAAAGTTGAGCATACATAGCAGGCATTGGTCGGGCGGCATGTCTGTGATGTGTCGGAGCCAGACCAGGCAGGGGAGCTTGCCAGTGAGCATCTGGTGGCCAGGCTCTGACCCAACATGGAGTGGTCCCTGTGGGCAAGCAGCAGGCAATGGCTGAGAAGTTAATCTGACTATTGTCCTGGCCTTCTTGGATTCTCTATATAATTTATACTATAATTTTACTGTGGGACTTCAGTGCTCATGTGGGAAACGATGGGGAAACCCTCGAGTGGTGTGACTGGGAGGAATGACCTGCCTTATCTGAACCCAAGCAGGGCTTTATTATTGGACTTATACGGTCGGTATGTACTGATTAGACTGTCAATTCCAACACTGGTGTGAATGTACAGCACAGACTGTACAATCTATGGCGTATCTGCCAGTGGTTCTCCAAATTCACTTCCACAGCAGTCAGAATAAGCATCTCATGTCCTTGGTTGTGTCATCCCCAGCATATTGCTTCAACCTTGGCAACATCTAAATAGTTTCCATCAAGCTGACACTCACCTCAGCTCTGTTTAAATCTGTTGACTCTTGTTCTGGGGCCCTAATCACTTAGGGTGACTCCACCTCAGAGGTGGATGGCCCACACTGAGTGTCTCCGTGCACGGCCTTCATTCAGCCATTGCTTAATGGACAACCATCACCCCCCTCCCCCCATACTACTCATTTCCTTCCACCTGAGCTTGGTGTGTTGATACCAGCATTACAACACAGGAGTAGAAATTAGATGTGAACAGTAAGCTCAAAGTTAAATTGTTGCTGCTGCAGCTTTAAACATGAGGATTTATTTACTGTGAGTTGGATAGAAATTAACAGCTCTCCAGTTCATACATTAATAGTATTTGCAAGTCACACTGGTGTTAAATAGTCACTGTCTGGAGCTGGTGACTTAAAAGAACAATGTGGCCATTTATACCTGATGTTTGCATTATAGTAATTTTAAATCAGTGGTTCAGTGGTGTGGGAGCCCTTCTGTGCGGAGTTTGCATGTTCTCCCAGTGTCAGTGTGGGTTTTTTCCAGGTGCTCCAGCTTCCTCCCACAGTCCAAAGACATGCAGGTTAATTGATTACTCTAAATTGTCCGTAGGTGTGAATGTGAGTGTGAATGGTTGTCTGTCTCTATGTGTCAGCCCTGTGATAGTCTGGTGACCTGTCCAGGGTGAACCCTGCCTCTCACCCAATGTCAGCTGGGATAGGCTCCAGCCCCCCCGCGACCCTCAAGAGGATGAATGAATGAATGAATGAATGAATGAATGAATGATTGAATGAATGAATGAATGAATGATTATGCATTTTATTTATAGGCACCTTTCAACGCACTCAAGGACGCCTGGATAAATGTTTTCTGAAAGTACTTTTCTACACTTAAAAAAAGGAAAACATTTGGTGATGTTGTTATGCAATGGTTTTCACCAGTCCGGCCAACTTGAGATTAATTTTGGCCGCATGTAGCCTGTGAAATAAAATGAGTTTGACACCCCTGCTTTACAGTATTTTGGCCTCACAGGAGCCAGGCTTCAGTATATCCAGTGTAACAATAAGTTTAACTGATTTTTGAAACCATGGATAGAAGAAGGCGTAAATCACAGGGTTCAGACAGGAGTTAAAATAGAACAAACAGATTACAAAGGCAGCAGATGAAGCGTTGAGTAAGGTGTCCTGGCCTGTAAGTGTGACACAAAAGTATGGGCAGAGGCATAATAGAAACACAACTATAACAACACCGAGAGTCCTGGCTGCTTTCAGCTCAGACTTTTTTGCAGTTACTTTCACCGAACCCTGAAGTGTGACTGCTGTAACATGAGACTGCATAGCACGAGCCTGAGACACAGCCGTCACAAATACTCTGATGTACAAAACTATGATGACAGTGACTGGACTTATAAAGGACAAAAACAGATCTGCAAATCCAGCAACATAATCAATAACAATAACACACTCTCCGGTGCAGGAATGATACCTGCCTGGTTGTTTCAAATTATCCTTCATTATGAGACTGTCGTATAGAACAGAACAACCCCAACAAAGGCAAACACAGATTCTAACTCTTCTCACAGTGACTTTGGTGGATTAATGCAGAGGATCACAAATGGCTACGTAGCGGTCAACAGATATGAGAACCATGTTTCCTACTGAGGAAGACGTAATAATGAAGTCTAAAACATAATACAGACTACACATGAGGTCACCGAGGAACCAGCAGCCATCTATAAGCATAATTTGAAAGAACATGAGGAGGCCCACGAAGAAATCTGAGACAGCCAGAGAGAGGAGGAGGAAGTTGGTGGGGGTGTGGAGCTGCCTGGATTGAAAGAAGAGAGGAACATACTCAACATTCTCCGTATCAGTTATTACATCAGTAAATAAAAGCAGATCTAAAACATGAAAAATAGTTTTTTAGAAAATGTTTTTCCCTCACAGTCATGTCTCTCTGTGCAGCTATGCTATAAAGCAATGAAATGTGTGGCTACTTGAAGTGTGAGATGGAGATGATGACCAGCAGGTTGAGAGTCGCAGTGAGCAGAGAGATGATGGACAGCACAATGTAGATAAGCACAGTGTCAGAGTGAGTACGATTTGGCTTCCTGCAGGAGGAGTTGAGTTGTAGGAAGCAGAGTTCACTTTCCTCCACCGTCTCCATCATCAGAGATTCAGGATGAACAGGCTGATGAGCTCTAGCATCTTTCTGATGAAGTTCAGATGTTTTATAACTTATCTAACTTCTTTTGCCCCTCCTCTAAGATCCCCTCCTACCAGGGGACTGATGTCCCTCCTATCATGCCATCATCTTCATTAGTTGCTGATGTGAATCTTAATCATGTAAACTGAATTTGCCACAGTTGTATGCAAATTAAGCACAGCGTTAGTTCAGGCAGGACATCAGATCAAGCTCAACTCACATCCCAGCTACATCAGCTGATCTCCAACAGCCCAATCAACTGATAGATCAGCTGACTGATGGAAGGGAGTCAGCTGATAAATCACATGATTCTTTTCTACGCAACCAATTGGCGAATCTCATTCAGGGCGCCCTATTTAAACTGCTCTGGCCTGCCTACTGTTGCTGGAGGCTGGTTGCAAGCCACTTCGCAACCAGTCTCCAGCCCAGCTCCTCCTTTTCAGCCTGTGTCTGACTTATTTATGTCATTTCTGTTTGTCATTGATGCTGCTCTGCTCTGTACCTGGGCGGGTCTTTCCATTAAGTCCAAAAAAATGATGCTTGAATGTCCAAAAAATATTATGAGAATATCGAAAAAAATATGTGATTTAAATATCCAAAACTATTTTGGGAAAAAAAAAAAATCCATCTCTGAAAAATATTATTAAAATGTCCAAAAAAAGTTGAAAAATGCCAGTGAAATACTAATAAAATGCCCAGAATAATTGTTAATAAAAAGTCCTGAAAAAAAATCCTGTTTTTTTTTTTAACCATATGAAGTTGCTCATCACCCACTGAGTCCACCGTATTGTTCTACAATAGCTCAGGAGGGACAAACCAAAAACTAGCTCAGGCAGATGGTATCATTTGTGTTTTCACGTTGTCTTCCATACTGTTACATCCTTAACACAAAGGAGAAGTTCTGTAACCGCACCTCTAGATACCACTGAATACTTCTCACTGGACATTTAAACTGATCATAAATAACAATAAGGAGGCACCAGGAAAACTCAGGCCTGTGACAGTGTTACTATTAGGTATACCTTAAAATAAACACTACAAAGCTCATGTTACATTACCACACATCTATGATGTTTATTGATCATAATAAAGGCAGATACAGTAAAGCATACATGTTCTTTTCTTTTTAAAGCTACAGATAGAAGCAGGTTATAATGTCAAACAATCCCAACATTGTTTGATTGCAGTTTTGTCCAAACTTGGTCAGAAGAATGCCACACATTCCACTGAAACATATTCCACATAAGATTTCCCTAAATATCACAGTATCCACGTTTATGGGATCAAGTAATCCCAGGTGCTTACTTCCAGACACTCTGCTGCCGATCAACTCAGTAAGTCTCCAGAGCTGTAGAAATCACTTTCACCGTCTCAGAGAAAGAAATCCCAGAAACCCAAAACAAGACCAAACAAATTTACAGATAGAACTGAATGGTTATTAGGATTATATGTGCTGGTATACATTCACAGCAATAATAACTGATCCCAGACTCAAGAAATGATTCACTATGGGTATTTGACTTCTTGGTGAGTCTGAATCTTCATGGAAACCTAAGGAAGATAAAATCCAAGTTATTGCTAGTTCTTAATCGATAACACAGATGTGTCTTTACCAAAGCAGCAGTGAAATTAAAGAAAGGAACTGCTGATATCATTAGCTGTTAGCTATTTTGGAGATATTTGTACTTTAATCTTTGGGAATTTGTTGTTATCTGTAACAGGGTGGGTGTTTTGTCAAGATCTGGAGGTTGAAGTTTATATTTGTTTGAATAGTTTCCTTGTTGCTGATGTTAATTTCTCCCACATTTCGGATCCTATTCCTGCTGGATCAACTTTTATTGGTGATTTTCCATGATAAAAAGTTTCTCTATTCTCTGTTACAGTCATTCCCCGAGCTGAATAACAATTGCAGAACTGCAGTGATTTGGAAGACCAGGAAATGCTGACCAATTAGAGCAGACTGCGCTTTTTTGCAAGGGATGCTTAAAGAGGCAAGAAACCTTAAATACAAGTACTAACCCTGAAAGTGGGCATAATAGATCGTCTTTAAAGTGAGCTCAGAAGTTGTTGAAGTAGGAAGAGTGAATCAGCTAGAGAGTTGCACTTACCCTAAAAAGTCCAGGCCATGGTGATAAAGGCAGGATTTTCATCCTCATATTTTGGCATGGCAGATCTACGCCTTCTCCTGGAGTGGCTGCATGTCTGTGCAGTTTAAAGACAGAGAGATTCAGTTTTAGGATCGGGTCGGCACAGGTTTTTGAGGCCCAACAGTGAGAAGCAAAACAACTGATGCCATTTATTACAAATATCTGTCTTTTTGTGCCAGTATTTCTAAATTTCACTATTTACATGTTTACTATTTATGTGAATATATTCATGCATACTGGGACACAGGCATCCCCATCCCGGACACACAGCTCCAATCTGCAGTGCAAGTAGACGCCATCATTCTTGCCAGAGAACTCAAACGCATTGAAAGAAAAGGAGTTGGACGTCCCCAGTCCATTGCCCTCGATCTTCACTGTGTCATCAGCAGGGTTAGGGCAGCTGCTCAAAAACAGGAAAGCAGACATGACACAGACTTGCAGACAACAATAAAGACAGGTTTAATTACCATGAGTATCTCTGTGTGTCTCACCCTGAGATTATGAGGTCGTATCTCAGGCTTCCACTTGGCGAAGGCTGATCGGTTGCCCAGCAGGAGTCAGTCACCAGAACAACCATTTGTTCATCCAGCCCATCTGACTCAAGGTCCACCCAGATTTTCTCATCCAGTTGGATGTCAGTGCTCGACTGGATAGCATTCATACGGTCAGCGCTGGTGTAGGCCTTCATGGTCAGATTGTAAGTCCATTCTCCAGAGGTAATCTGCTGGATCACTGAGCTGGAAAGCAGAGATACAGAGATGCTTCAGACTGCAAACAATAACCAAGTTTAGCTTGGTCAACTTGCTCTTGGTGACAGAAAGGTGACAACCATGAAACTACATGATGTACGTAACCACCACACACCTGTGTTTGAGTTTGATGGCCACGGTCTTGATATCCGGCTGAGTGTAATAACAGGAGAAGTCAATATGCACTGGGCTGTGACGGTTGATTGAGCCAAACGTGGAGATGTTTCGTGTCATGATGCTGTTCTTGTAGATAATTTGACTGTTATTTGCCTACATGGTCACATGGAGAAAGACATTGTCACTGCAATTTCAAATCAACCAAACAGTTCAACCTGTTCCCGCTCCCAGGTTGTCAAATACCAAAAATTTGTCAGGACCTTTGGCGTGTGATATTGATGCAACATTACAAAACAAACACATTTATTTTAACCCAAATCTTTTCTTGAAACCTTATCAAGCAGATTTGTTCTTTGAAACCAGGTGTTGCAATGTGTGCGTCACATAGATACGTTAAAGGGTGCCCTGTGTGTTGCTATCAGTGCGTTGGTATTTGATGACCTGGGGATGAGTCCGAGTTGAGTACATTAACAAATATGAAGGTTTTAGGCTGCAGCAGTTACTGTACTGTACAGTGACGCTTTTAGTAAGTACAACAATAGTACTTTCATATCTTTAACTACACTCATGCAACCACATAATGACTACAAACACTAAGTTTCTACTATAAAAAGGGATTTAGTATCTAAGGATACCCACCATGACCACTGTACCACAAGTGTTGCTGCTGTCGAAGCTGAACGTGACCATGTGGGTCATGTTGTCCATTTCCCCTTTGCAGTCCTGGTCATTGAGGTGTAAGACAGAGTAGTCGATGCTTTTGTCCTCCAAGAGACAATTAGCGAGAGACACTGAAGCAGATTTATGCCTGCAGACCGTTGGCTCACCTGACCATCAGTTTAAAAAACAATATGATATTCATTTAGCTTTTGTCCACAATAGCAAACATCAGGAACATGTACACATAAATTCAACACTGATTTTTTTTCCCTGCAGTCTTTTTTCAGTTTTGTAAAGGACCCTTTGAGAGTTTTGTGGATTTTTAAATTGTATCACTTTAACACCTATTCTTAATGCTACTGCATGTGATTTTATGGATGAAATAATTTTTAATTGATAGCTCACTGTTATAAGTATTCTGTGCCCAAAAAAAATTGCCTAAACATGTCAAATGAACACCTGTCTGCTAGCTATAAGGCCAAAACACACTGGTGGCAAATGCAAGAAATGCCAGGCGCACACTCTAAGACTCTATGCAAAAATATTTTCTTTTATTCAAGTACCAACGTTTCGACTAGACCGTCTTCATCAGGGTCATCAAAAACCCTGATGAAGATGGTCTGGAGGAAACGTTGGTACTTGAATAAAAGAAAATATTTTTGCATCGAGTCTTAGAGTGTGCGCCTGACATCTTTTTTCAAATTTGTATTTTTCTCGTCAATGGTCAGCACCTCTCCAACCCTGGTGTGCACTCCCCCTTTCTCTTCGAATGCAAGAAATGTGCCACTATTTCAATGTACAACCCCACACCGGCGGCTAGATGCCCGTCGATGCTCCTAGATATGCTGCCCCGCGGCACTTCACATTACTGTCCTATTTCCAGCCTCACTGCCCCAGGAATTAAATGCATTATCCCCTCACTGCTATCTGCTTGTACAGACCAGCTCCCACCATAGCAGGTTTTTTTTTTTAAAATCTCAGCTCCTACAGCAGCTCAACTCCTCTCCTCACCCCTGATGTATAATGAGAACTCTTTAGCTGTTGCTGTGTGCTGTGTCTGACGATGAATCGATGAGGAGAGGCTCATTGTTGAGGTTGAGAAATCTCCCAAGCTAAATGACTCACAATACTGTCATTATAAAGACAATGGCCAAACAGATGCTTTCCTGTGGAGTCACAGCTCTGGAGATCGGCTCTTTAGGTGAGGCATCAACTTTAATTATGGGCTGAGTTTAAGCTAATGCAGAGATCTGTCAGTTAATGTAGTAATAACTTTGTGTGGTTATCTGTTGACCAGCTGCAGCGTGACGCATCCAGTGTGTGCTCGCAGCGGCACTTGACGCATGTCACATGATGCGTTGTGGCGTGTTTTCACCTTCAGTCTGTAAAATTAAGAAAATTAAAGCCACATT